CAATTTTATAATCCCTTGTTCTTTGCTGGGGGTAGATTTTGCTACCTTAAGTATGAAATGGTTGGTCTTCTATCTCCAAAATTAATTATAACGGTAAGTAAAACTAAAGCCACTAGAAAACTGTGGAGTTACAGTCCCACACAAGCAATCTAAGAAAATATCAATGTAATAAAAATGACTCCTTAAGCTTATACAGCAAATAAAAACATGGTACATACCCATATGTTACTCCAGCAATACTACATTTCTTAAAATTCATAATATTGCATGTTAAGGTGCCTGTTTTATCAGAGAATAGATACTTAACCTAGGAGACAAATGATATATATACATATATTATTATGAATAAAACAAAATAGAGAATCTCTAAGAAAACTGTGGAAACAAAAGCAGTTATGAAGTGCAATCCTCACGATGTTCAGTGGAGCCTCTTCTGAGGTAAGTGGGCAAACATGTAATGAGGCCTGATTGATTTAATTATTATTTAACACATTTTTCTCCAAACAGGAATCTTTCAGACTCCTCAAGTATCCAAATCCCATAATCCCCTGCCAGTATGGTCAGATTGGTTGAGGATTCTGGGAATTGCCATCAATACATCCCAATACACATTGGTTAAGGCTCAGTGACTAGTTCTTCGGCGAAATGTGTGCCTATATTATAAAATGTACAGCAACTTATCTTAGCCAAGAACTAGGTACACAACTGTACAGAAGCGAGCCAGAGACTTGACTGAAGCAGGGTGATCTTTTTTTAGTTTGGATGATTTTAAAAACATAGGTTTTGAATTAGATATACAGTCTAATAAATAAGAATAAGACTCTCTTGTTAGGTTGCCGAATGAGAGTCAGGAAAGACTCAGGTTCAAAATTAACCCCCAACAGCCTTTTTCTCACAGGATTTCTGTGAGGATGAAAGCAGAATCAATTATTCAGTCACTTTTTGTCTTGCTATGTTCACAGCCTTGCATTTTGCTTCAAATTTGTTGAAGGGAGAAGAGGATGAAAATAAAATAAAGCTAATGTATTATTTTTGTGAACTGAATTAAAATTACTGGTGTAAGAAATCATATAAAATAGTTTCCCATGAAAAATGCCATATGAAAAATTAAAAGGCACTGGGATAATCAGGACAAGGGGTTTCCACTCAGGTTTATTCCAGTTAGTACTCAACTTACTGTATATAGAATCTTAACTGGACTTAAATCCAACTAACTCTCTCATAGTCAGTAGCATCGCTACTTTACTTAGGCACTACATAAATCATACCCAATTCTCACTAGATGAATGCGCACTGGAATATGGGATGCAGAGGGGGACAAGGTATTGCTCAATCTCATAACTGGCATGGCTCAATAAAACAGGATGATGGAAAGTGTAGTCCAACAGGAACTGGAGAACCACCGATTCCCCACTCTTGATTACAAGTTGTGGCTGCATCATCTTACAGAGAGCCGTTGCAAATCCGTTGCCTGCAGATTCATCTCAAACTGTTTTCATGGACTGAATATATAGATTGAACAGCCCCTTTTTATAACCCACTGTTATATTGGTACCATCTCATATCCTTACCTGGCCAAGTTCCTCATTCAGATTTGAAGTTCTGGCCATTGCAGGTGTATCAGTTTCAGTATAATACATATCTATATCCTGAGAAGAATCAAAAGACCTTATCATAAGTAGACCATACATCGCATGCTACTTTTATGTTGTTCTGTTTATCATATGCACTACATTTTTATTATTTTTTAAATGTATTAATCTCTTTTTAAAAGAACAAAAGAGCAAACAAGCAAAAAGAGAAAAAAGAGAAAAAAGAAAAAAATAATTGGTATAGGAATATAATAAGTGAACTTTACCAAGTTCACCAATGCCATCAATATCACCAATACCAACTTTTCCAACTTTACCAAGTTCACCTTTGCCAACTTTACCAATAAGTGAACTTTACAATTACCAAGATTGTACAGTGAGTGCTCAGCATACCTTTGACTAAAAATCAACCACAGAAAACATTAAATTACATTTAAGCACATTAACTTATTTTAACAATGTAAGAAAGAATTTAAATGTCTGAGCTAAGTGCCAAAATCTCCACTCCTTGCTTGTGGAGCAAAATAGTGCTCCAAAAAAGAAGAAAAAGAAAAAATACTATGACATTATAAATATTAGTTTCTAATTTCCCCTTTCTACTCCAATGTATAATTTTTATAGTCATTTTTAAAAAATGTAAATCGTTGATTTCAATTATTTAGTCAGTTATTTTTCCCCTTAAAAACCATACTCTAAATGCTGAACTTTTATTTGCCTTCCTGCATAATATATAGTATATATGGAAGCCATTCTTGCTTAAATTTGCTTAGACTTATAATATGCACTAGATTTTTATTACTTTTATTATGGACTGCTCTGATTGTTGTTTTGTTTTCATTTTCCTCAAGATTGGCTGAAAAAAATAAACACTAAGTAAATAAATGATCTAATCTAAATTATTCTCACATCGTTCAAAGAATGCTGCTACAGTAGAGAAACAGAATATCAAATGAAGAGAACCAGTTTGGTCTAGTGGCAAAGGCACCAGTCTAGAAAGCAGGAGACGGTGAGTTCTAGCCCCACCTTAGGCATGAAAGCCGACTGGGTGATTTTGGGTCAGTCACTCTCTCTCAGCCCAACTCACCTCAGAGGGTTGTTGTTGTGGGGAAAATAGGAGGAGGAAGGAGTATTAGGTATTTTTGCCGCCTTGAGGTATTTATAAAAATAATAAAGGTGGGATAAAAAAAATTGGTTCTATCAGTAAGCCCCACTATGACAATAGAGTGCAAATCTCATTATTCCTAACCATTGGTCATCTGGTGGGTACCAGGTAGCCTAAGTCATTTATGACAACCCTGCCTTCAGTCATGCCTCCTTGCTGACACTTCATATACCCATGCATTCATGCAGACATTCAAACAAAACAATCCATTCTTGCTTTGCTGATAGGAAGCTGAGAGTTGGTGGCAGTTTAGATTCTCATAGGACATAATTCTCATTGGAAAGGAGGGGCTGCAGATGGACTGGTATTAGAGATGGCGCTAGAGATGGAGTTTTAGAGTTGAAAAGACTATCAGGGAGATCTCAGGGAAGGAATGATGTTAGAAGAGGGCTGGAAAGCAAGGCTGAATTTGGATATTAAATGGCCTTTGAAGAAAAGTTATTGGACTTTAAAATAACAATATGGGCTTGCAAACCTGAGCTGAATTAGGCAATGGTTACGCGGTTGAAGAGAATGTTGGGCACTATCCAAAGGAGCAGGCTGAATACCAGAGGAGCAGCAAGAATATTGTGAAGCAATTATAAACCAATGCAGAGTGCACAGTTGGGGTGCTAGAAGGTGGCAGAAAATCAGAAGATAAGAAGATTATGTGCCAGAAAAAAAGCCAGCAGACAATAAACTGCCAGCCAGAATAAGTGAATGAGAAAGGAAGAGAGAGATAGAATGAAAATTGCTATTAATCTCTGTAAATCCTTAATTCTAGAAATGGATGGGATTAAAAATAAAATGGTGCTAAGCTTGTATCATAATCTGGACACAAATATGAAAGTTGGAGTTCAAGGAGAAGGACATTGTTCTCAGTGGAGTGTCAAGCAAGTAGCTGACTATATATTCTACTAAGCAAGGCTTAGTTAGAAACAAAATGACTTCTGCTATGTGTGATCAGAAATTTGAATAGTACTGGATGCTCTTTGCACTGTCTCTTTCAATCAAGGTCCCCGAAACCACGTACACTCACTTCATGACACCACTAGCATACCATGGATTGTGATGAGGATTCAAATGACACATTTGTTTCATACACAATACATGACTATGATCGTTTCTTTCAATTAAGATTGGAACCATCCATGTGTAATTTCTCATATTTCATCCAGTTTCAGTAAATTATAAATAGCAGGACAGATAGAAAGCCCTCTGCCCCTAGATTCAAGAAATCTGGACTTATTTTGCATATGAAGGATTTCATAGGTAATTCAGAAAACTATACTTATTTTCACATACTAAAAATCCTACTTCAGGCTCTCCTCCCAACTGATAGTGGGTTATAATGGGTACAGAGATATAACTGCCACATTTTTACAAATAATTTTACTACTAATAAAAGCGTAATAACTTAGTACATTCATTTGTCTCCCATTTTTGCACTTTTAAATTAAGTTGCATTCAATTGTACATACCCAATTTATAAAAAGAGCCTGAGTAAATTTCACAACTTCCAGAGTCACCAATAGACTGATGGGAATGAGGTTGTTGTACAAGATTATAAAGGTGAGCAGATTGTATCCAAAATTGGTGGATAGGACTTCTGTAGACCAAGAAAGACAACAAAGGAAAGAGTTAGAGAAGATATATTGGTTACACACTGGATCAGGGCTGTACACATGGTTGTGTAATCCCCAAAGAAGTGGAAGACACAAATGGGGAAGCTGTGTTATCAATTCCTGAAAGAAAAAAAATGCAACATTAAGAAACAGGATTTCTGAAATTACAAAGCTTTCACTGTTGACTTGGCATTATGAATATAAATTAACAATTTCATGTGAAGCTTTTTAAAACATTGCTACTAAGATCCCAAAATAGCAAAATCCTTTCTTTTGTCTCATATTTGTATATTGCAGCCAGGACTGAACTGAACATCTTATCAATTACTTGAAATACCAGATAAACCATGAGGACATCTAAGACAGGGGAGAAGTCTCGGGGGTTTCTCTCATTTCAGATTCAGTGCAGCCTGAGGTTCAACTGTGTTCATGTTGACACAATATAAGAGAGTGGACACCTTCTAAAACTTTGAAAACAGGTCCCAAAATATTTGGGGAAGAAAACAGAAAAAACCAAAATTAAGCTCAGAAGAGAATAGTAGCATTGTAAGAAATTACAGTCTGTACTAACATTAGGGAGTGTTTCCCAGATAAGCATTAACCAACCAATACCACTGTGTGTAAAGATTTGAAAGGGGAAAAATAGTGTGTGTGTTGAAATGCTAATCCATTCTTCCTAAGGTGACCAATTACATATCAACCCCAAAGGAATACAATATGCTTTGGGTGCTTTTATGTAGAAAAGTGAAATAAAATGTTATGCATTTACAGTATATAAATGCATACTGTATTTGGAAAGAATTACTATAATCTGAATAGAAAGGGAAGGCTGCAACCATACAGTTGTCCAGATGCAAACCCCTGATGGAGAATTACAAAGCTTGTGTTGTTTTCTCTTTTTAAACCAAACATAGGGCAGATGGTTCTTCAAATAAAGGATGTCTTGAAACACAGCTCTATCCTTTGTGAAAAAAGGTACCTAGTACTTCCCACCCACAATATACCTTGAGTACTTTCTTTTCACTCAAAAGGTAGACCAATCCAGGTATCAGTCAAATCAAGACTATTCAGGTGACCACACCTGAGAAGATCCTTCACCATCAATGGCACTCAGATGATGCCAGTTTCCTACAGATATTTCAACATACAGCATAGATGTCTGCTACAAAGGCTTCATGCAAATGCTTGAAAACTTACATGCAAGTCACCACTAGGCTTTATGAAGCTTTTCTCTTGCAGGCATCCATATTGAATGTCTGGTTATCTGCAGAGGCTGTTATAACCTGAGGAATTTCGGGGTTGTTTGGGCTTTTCCAACTCACAAAATGTCTATATAAGGTGGTTTATTTTTACTATCCAAACTGGCTGAAAAAACATAGGACAAGGAACAGGGAGAGGAGCTGGAGGGAAGAGGTTATCTAATTTAGAATTTTAAAAAGGTGTGCAAGTTTACATCTGGCACATAGCTAATGGGCAGAGATTTTAACACACACACACATTCCACACTCCATATACTAGAAGGGGTGAGAAACTTAAGGCAAATGAAAGAAAGAACTTCTTCACACAACATCGTTACATTATAGAATCGGCTTCAAGATGATGCGATGTGATACCAATTTAAAAGGAGTTTAAACCAATGTAGGGAGGCTCAGATTACTAATGCCTATTAGCCATGATGGCCCTAAGCTTTCTTCACAATCAGAAGTAACAATGTCAGATGCTGAGGAACAGTGGTTGGAGACAGTTTTGGAACTTTCAGTTACAGGACTTTCTAGAGGTTCATCTATTAAGCACAGTGTCAGACTATCTGGATTTTGGTTTGATCAACTGCAGGTGGGAGCTGCAGATGTTACCAGATCTATTACTTTGATCATGCCTATATAGTTACAAAGCAAATATGGGGTCTGGCAATTTGCTTTCCTTTGATCTCCTGTCACGACTTGCTTCACTGCCTCCTTTAAATATATCCACCTTCTATATTTAAGAAATGCACTGTCCTTCTCTCCCCTCTCCTTTTTCACTTTAGTCTAATTTTGGCAGAGGTATTCTTAACCCAGAAGGGGGAAAAAAATGAGCAGGCACTGTTATGATGTTACATTATGAACATTTCACCTATTGAAGCCCACCCAACCAGAAACAGCTTTATATCCAGTGAGGCCTACTGCCTTCCTTCCCAAAGTGATTGTACCCAGACAAAGAGAGACTGGTCTGAAATGGCAGATGACAGAGGAGAACACACAACAGAGAATAGCTATCATGATCAGTAAAACACTTTGTCTCGTTATAGAAAAGGTATTCATTTATTGCTATTGTCTGCATCACAAAAGCTTGCCATACTCTTTTCACTCTCCTCATGAAATATAATCAGGAGGAGCTGCAAATCATTTGTGTCCACATATTGGCATTTAAGATCCTGCTAACTCCTTTGTGGTAAATCTGAGGGAAGCTGGCCAAGGACCAGAACAGCAACCCAAGGAGTCACTGAGGGAAAGGAGAGAAGCCACACTGCCCCTTTCTCAATAGCAAGTGGGGTAGAGAGGGGTGGAGATACGGTGAAAATCCACACACTACTCTGAATGTCTCCTTTAAACTGCATTTGTATCCACTTCTTCCACTTGAAAAGGCCATCAGTGGCTCCAACATTTCAACAAAACATTCAAGCATAGAATTAATAATATGATGAAAAATATACAACCCCTTAGATGCAGGTAAGAAGTATTTTAAACAATAAACAAGGAAAATGAGCATTAAAACAATTCAGAACTAAAACAGCTAAGCCAACTAAAAGCCAACTAAGACAGCTTGTTGTCATCCTGATTAAAGAAAGACACATGCTTTTCCTGTGCTCCACATAAAAAAAAGTCCCTCCCCTCCATATCCAACAAACAGGAGCATCTTCAAAGGGACCTCTCTTGCAGTTCTTCATGACCAGGTATGTCCAGAATGGAAAAGATGGATTCTCAACTGGACAGGCCACAGCTGCTTAGGGTTTTAAAGGTTAAAATTAACACCTTAAATTAAGCCTGGAAAGCAAGGGGCAGTCCTGCCATGTTTTTTTTCAGCTGTATCTGGTATAATCACTAGACCACATTTTGCACTGATTGGAGTTCACAGACACTTTTCATAGGAAGCCCTCTGGACAGTGCAATGTTACTGAATGGCTAATAGTAACTGATGTGGGGTGGGGGGCTTTCATCCATTTCTCAAAAGAAAATCTCAGTAGCACCACATGAGTTCTTCCCTTCCAAAAGGCACCTCTGATATTCCTCTCAGTCCCCGCTAATTTCACATGCTGCTGCTAATTTCAGGTGGCTATGTGGTCTAAAGTAAGTAACTGCAACATACTTCTTTAAACAAAAGCTAAACTTGAAATACTGACTTATAGAACCCTCATCTGTGTTTGTTGTGGATGAAATTTACCATCTTGCTTATTGTTATTATATTGTATTCTTTTGATTGCATATTGTTGTTTTGCTTTTATGCAGTGAGCCACCCAGAGTTGACTGGGAATTGGGCGGTGCCTAAGTCAAATAAATCCTATGCTGTTTGAACTTACAGAAGGGTTTCATTTGTCATGCATTCTAGTTCACTTCCCAGCATTTGTCAAATACTGGCACTGTTTCCTCTACAATCATCCATTTAATTGTCACTGGGAGGTGTTCTCTGCTGTACAAAGACAATTGTGAAATGCTCTGAGGCTGGACTTTACCATGAATTCCTCTTCACATACTGAAATTCTCCATACATTTCTAATAGACATGAAGCAAACATCTGCTGGGGAAATACAGTGGAAGATGCAGTAATCCTTTAAGTGAGATTGACCTTATAATTTTATGGTCTCCTCTACATACTTTAGATATATTTCCATAAATTCTATAAGATATCTGAAGATGGACTCAAAATACCACCTACCCACCCTCCCATCCATCCTTTATTTATTTATTTATGGCATATTATTTGTTTAGTATTTCAATGTATATCCCAGCTCCTTGCCCATAAGGAACTCAGTTACTACCTACTTTTGGAATTCCCAGTGTAGCACCTGGGTATCCA